CACTAGTGATTTTTTTGTTGTTGTTGTTGGTCATGGGGCTTGAACTCTGGGCCTGGGTGCTGTCCCTCAGCTCTTCAGCTCAAGGCCAGCGCTCTACCACTTGAGCTACAGTGCCACTTCCGGTTTTCTGGTGGTTTATTGGAGATAGGAGTCTCACGGTCCCGGGCTGGCTTTGAACCGCGATCCTCAGATCTCAGCCTCCTGTGTAGCTAGGATTACAGGTGTGAGCCACCAGCGCCCAGACCACTAGTGATTTTTTTAAGTCAAGGCAGAAACTAAGTTGTTGTATAGAGAGACAAATGCCAAGTGACAGTGTAAGTGGTTTTAGGGAGTGAAGGAAGAGAGAGAATGCAAAGCCAAAGCGATTTTTCACAAAGTTTAGCATGAAAGACAGAATACTGAGCAGGGACATGACAGGAAGTAGCATTTGAAGATTTTTCTTTCTCAGCACAACTATTACAAGCCTTCTCTCTACACACTCTTTAAGCCCACACACTTCCCTCTCAGTAGATCACTTCGCTTTCTATGAAGCAACTCTTAGACTTCCAGCAACTCCCCCTCACCGACATCACATTTATTAGCATTCTCTCTGCACTACATATTCCTCACTCCTTTGCAATTGGAATATCATCATCCATCACCCATCTTGAAATTGGTCTCAGTATGGCAATTGGAAAATTCTGGGCTTTATTAAGGAAAAAAATGTCCTCTGCGGATTATGGTGTATCACTATGCCTTGTTTTCTATCTTTCCACTTCTTTTTATGTTTCCTATATAGACTTCTATTTATCTTCCTATTAAATGTAATGCTTCCCCTGTGGTCATGACCAAGTGCATTCTGTTTCCTCCGGTAAATCTCATGGCTTTTTTCTACAACTTGTTTGCTGATAAATTGTATATTTGTACCTCTAGTCTGGCACTCTCTCCTAAGCCTCATATTTGTATATCCAACTGTCTATGCTTTATCTCTCTAGATTATCAAACAGATATCTCAAAATCAACTGTCCAAAACTTTAAAGTCACTTTTTTTCCAAAACACTGCCCCTGAGACAGATCAAAAGGACCTTCTTTTCC